GAAGTGGCAGTGGGCCGGCCATATAGCTCGAAGAACCGACAACCGATGGGGAAGAAAGGTTCTCGAGTGGCAGCCTCGTACCGGTAGGCGAAGTGTAGGGCGTCCCCCCACGAGATGGAGTGACGACCTGGTAAGACATGCAGGAAGTCGATGGATGCAGGTGGCTCAGGTCCGTGCTTTGTGGCATTCTTTGGGGGAGGCCTATGTTCAGCAGTGGACTTGTGAAGGGCTGTAATGATGATGATGATGACAGACGCAAGTGATGTAGGACTTGGCGGTGTGTTGTCTCAACAGAATGGTGACCAAGAGTTTGCGATAGCGTTTTTCAGTAAGTCATTGTCAAAGCCGGAAAGGAACAATAGTGTCATAAGACGGGAACTGCTTGCTGTGGTAAAGTCGTTGCAGCATTTTAGCAGATATCTTCTGGGGCGGAAATTTCACTTACGAACTGACCATGCTGCTCTGAAATGGCTTTTGCAGTTCAAAAATCTAGAAGGACAAGTTGCGAGATGGATTGAACTACTGCAGGAATAGCCTTAGTGATCGAACATCGCAGCGGGACATCTCAGATCATCACAGATGCATTGTCAAAAAGACCTTGTCCTGAAGATTGTACTAGGCAAGAGAGTAAGGAAGTGGTATCTGTGAGGATGCTCAGGACAGACCAGCTCAGCAATGACTGGAAGGACAGCCTACAACATGCACAGCAGGAAGATTCGGACATCTAACCGTGCCAGTGTTCCTAAGCCCAAGTGGAGCGACGTCTCAGCGATGAGTTCGACCACGAAAAGCTATTGGGCCCAATGGGACAACTTGTTAATTCAGGATGGATTCCTGTGCCGTAAATGGGAAAATGGTTGGGGAGACAGCGGTCATCTGCAAATGGTTGTCCCTAAAGCTAAAGTACCGAATGTTCTACAACTGTACCATAATGGTTGTCCAGGAGGCCATCTGGGCGTTAAACGAACTCTACTGAAGATCCGAGATTGGTTTTACTGGGTCCACTGTCGTGACGATGTCGAGGACTGGTGTCGCAAATGTACAAATTGTGCGGCTCTAAAGGGACCTCGGACTCGCAGTAGAGGTGCATTGACATGGTACAATGTTGGTGCATCATGGGAGAGGATAGCCCTTGACGTTGCGGGGCCGTTTCCGGAAAGTGAATGTGGTAACAAGTATTTCATGGTTGTGATGGATTTCACTAAGTGGCCAGAAGTCTTCGCCATTCCAAATCAAGAAGCTTCAATAGTTGCAGATAAACTAGTTCATGAAGTCTTCTGTCGTTTTGGAGTACCTTTAGAGTTTCACAACGATCAAGGAAGAAATTTTGAGTCTCAAATATTCCAGGAAACTTATCAAGTTATTGGTACTCTTAAAACAAGAACAACTTCTTACTACCCACAATCTGATGGAATGGTAGAACGATTTAATCAAACATTGGAGAGGTACCTAGCAAAAGTTGTGGAAAATCGGCAACGGGACTGGGACAAGCACATACAACCGTTTTTGTTGTCATATCGAAACGTTGTTCACGAAAGTACATCAGTGACACCAGCTTTGCAAACTTTGGGAGAGAATTACGGCTGCCTGCAGACCTGTTCACCGGAATACCACCCGATGCCCCACGCAGTATAACCAATTATGCAAATAACTTGCGGAACAAAATTAATGACATTTATGAGTACATCAGATAATCGGGCCAGCAAATGTCTCAAAAGATGAAATCCCGGTATGACCGCTAAATGAACAACAACGGGTTTGACGAAGGTTCACTAGTGTAGTTGCACAATCCAGTTTGCAGCAAAGGGAAATCTCCCAAGCTTCAAGCTAAATGGGACGGACCGTACCGGATTGTGACAAGGATCAATGACGTAACCTACCGGATATAAGAAGTAGCAAGAGGTACTCATGTGGATCGACTGGCGCGTTATTATGGGTCCGATAATGCTCGGGTCAAGCATGTCTTAGGAGGGCAGTGTTGAGCGCCACCATTAATGTCTGGTACATGGCAACACTAGTTACCACTAGCGCCCTCTAGTATCGAGTAGCAGAACTAGGAGAGTCAAGATCCTTCTAGAATTTTCCATGGAAGAACTTTCTAGAACTATCGACACCTAGTTCATTCTAAATGTTTCTACAGTAGAAGGTTCTGGAAATTATCTGAGGCCCTAAATAAGGTCGGTATAAACCGCATCCCGGTGAGTGTTGAGTTGGCGTTACAAGCGAATACTTCGAAGCGATACAACTGCGAACTAAAGTGATCAGTAGTACAATTGTGTTTTGTTATTAGTATGGTTTTAAGTTGTAACTAGTATTCTGTAATTACAATGTCGATTTTGGTAATTAACTCGGCAGTTTTTAATTGTCTAGAACCTCAAGCTCGTACTATTATAATGTACCTACTGATCCCTCGCTTAAATATTCATTAGTAGTAGCATTTCTCAATTAGAAAATTTTTAAATTCTTTTTTAAATTTATGAATATTTTCCATTTCATGAAACATAGATGGAACTTTATTGTAGTTTTTAGATAGTATACCGAACAATTTTAAGTTTTTAAATTGTGGTTTACAGCTCTGTACTTGTTATATTTGCAATAGCACGCACACACTTTTTTGTACTTTAAATATATATTTGCGCCTTGATTCATTGCCCCAAAAAATTACACAGTAGTTCACAGTAGAAGATACGAAACCGTGATATACCGTCCGTAAAGAATCTTCATTTACTACTTTAGATAAAACATATAGAGCGTATGAAAATTGATTTAACTTTTTACAAATATATTATGTACGAGTCTCCTACTTTAAGTTATTATCATTATAAAGACCTAAGAATTTTGTTACTTTTTTAAGTTTATTATTAAATTATTTGACTTAAGCCAGCTAATTAATTATACTCTTTAGGTTGTTATTAATTTCATTTTCACAATTATTTATGTCTGTACATGTAAACACTATAGAACTATCATCTGCAAATAGAGTCACAGGAAAGTTTACGCTGTTAGGTAAGTCGTTAATATATACTAAAAATAATAAGGGACCAAGTACGCTTCCTTGAGGAACATCAAAACCTGATTCGAGGACTTGAGGATCCAGGACAAGACCAATAAATATATTAATTTTTAGTCCTTGGGCAAAACCGTGATACTTGAATAAATTGAATCCTGTTTGTCAGCTAGGAATTTATAAGATCAGATGTCTTGCCTCTTATACCGTATTTATTTAATTTTATAATTAACAAGTCATGCCTAACAGAATGGAAAGCCTTTGAAATATCCATATATGGGACTGTCACTGGTACTTTTCTGTCAACGTTTGTAAATACTTGGTATAAAAATTCATAAATTGCTGCATTTATAGATTTGTTTCTACGGAAACCTTTTTGTTCTTTTGCAATAATATTGCATATTTCAAAGTAATTATATAGATTCTTATAAATTACTTTTTCTCTTGAATAAATTGAATCCTGTTTGTCAGCTAGGAATTTATAAGATCAGATGTCTTGCCTCTTATACCGTATTTATTTAATTTTATAATTAACAAGTCATGCCTAACAGAATGGAAAGCCTTTGAAATATCCATATATGGGACTGTCACTGGTACTTTTCTGTCAACGTTTGTAAATACTTGGTATAAAAATTCATAAATTGCTGCATTTATAGATTTGTTTCTACGGAAACCTTTATGTTCTTTTGCAATAATATTGCATATTTCAAAGTAATTATATAGATTCTTATAAATTACTTTTTCTATAATTTTGGAAAACATAGAAGTCGTAGTAATTGGACGGTAACAGGACAAATCCTCTCTGTTATCTTTTTTAATTTAATGGTTTAATTATGCATGCCGATTTTGCTCCACTTTTTCAAAAATGGCATGTCAATGGCTTAAACCGTCTTTCTGCTACTCTTATCGACACTGCATTAGCCCCATAATTATTTTCGTGGCTGCTTGAGTCGCATTTTTCCCTTTTATGTAATAAAACTTCAGATGTATCGAATTTCTTTGTTAGATTTACTAATTTTGGCGGACATAAAAACAATTGAAAAATGGCGAAAAAGTGCTTTTAACTTTTTATTTTTCTTTTTAAAATAAAAAAAATCACGAAATATTGTTTGTCTGTTTATTGAAATGCGCACGACCCATAGCCCTTTCGTTCATACCCTGACTGAGCCGTCGTAAACCGGAAATCGGCTTGTAATCCCGACGGTGCGTCGGTGAACCTTGCGGTGAACCTGTCGGTGTGTCGTAGCGATGTATGCGTGAGCACGAATCGCGGCGCTATGTATGGGTGTACTCGCAGCGATCCGTTTGTATGTAACTTGCCCGCTTTGCAAAAACAATGACTCAGACTATTAAATATGTTATTATTGAACGTATCCGTAATTATTTACGTTCCTAAACAAAGATTATATAATTACCTTTTTCTAGAGAAGTCTATACTATGCCAAAGAGTATATAATCTAATAAAAAGTAACGTAGTGATATAATCACTACGTTTTATCTATACTTTTTCTAGTCTAAATCGACAATTTTTTAATTGAAATTAAATTCTAGACAATTGAACCGTATCAACTTATGTTAATAATTGAACTAAAAAAAACCTTTCATTTTAAAATGCTACACATTAATAATATACCACATAATCTCAAAAACATATTGAATAATTACTAGATTCTCCGTACTTTTAAAAATATATTTAATACTGTATTTTGTTATATTTAAATAGACAAATGAAACGACATATGTTTCAGTCATATTCGATTATACTAGTCCAAGCATATAGGACAGTGGCCATTGTTCTAAAGTAAGTGTGCTAGGCCGCTTAAACTTTGAACTTTGATGTGCGTAGAAAGATAGATACTGGATAACAAAGTGCAAATGTGTGTTCAAACTTTGCGCACATACGCTATGCCCTTGTCACACTTGGTGACTTTAAAGCAATTTGGAGGTAAGTCTGGCGCAGGAATGTGACATTGGAATATCGTGTTTGATGCAGTGTGGAGAAGCGGAGACTGTACGGCGAGGCGGAGACGCTGTACCGGCGAGCGCTGAAGATGCTGGGCCCGCGCGAGACGTGCGGCGCCGCGTCCGTGTGGGAGCTGGTGTCGTGGGAGCTGTCCTGCCACCTGTACACCCGCGCCGTGCTCATGCAGGACTGCCCGCAGCTATACGACAACGTAACCCTTCACTGTACACTGTACACTGTACAATAAGTATGACTAACCGTCCGTGTGGGAGCTGGTGTCGTGGGAGCTGTCCTGCCACCTGTACACCCGCGCCGTGCTCATGCAGGACTGCCCGCAGCTGTACGACAACGTAACCCTTCACTGTACACTGTACACTGTACAATAAGTATGACTAACCGTCCGTGTGGGAGCTGGTGTCGTGGGAGCTGTCCTGCCACCTGTACACCCGCGCCGTGCTCATGCAGGACTGCCCGCAGCTATACGACAACGTAACCCTTCACTGTACACTGTACAATAAGTATGACTAACCGTCCGTGTGGGAGCTGGTGTCGTGGGAGCTGTCCTGCCACCTGTACACCCGCGCCGTGCTCATGCAGGACTGCCCGCAGCTATACGACAACGTAACCCTTCACTGTACACTGTACACTGTACAATAAGTATGACTAACCGTCCGTGTGGGAGCTGGTGTCGTGGGAGCTGTCCTGCCACCTGTACACCCGCGCCGTGCTCATGCAGTACTGCCCGCAGCTATACGACAACGTAACCCTTCACTGTACACTGTACACTGTACAATAAGTATGACTAACCGTCCGTGTGGGAGCTGGTATCGTGGGAGCTGTCCTGCCACCTGTACACCCGCGCCGTGCTCATGCAGGACTGCCCGCAGCTATACGACAACGTAACCCTTCACTGTACACTGTACACTGTACACTGTACAATAAGTATGACTAACCGTCCGTGTGGGAGCTGGTGTCGTGGGAGCTGTCCTGCCACCTGTACACCCGCGCCGTGCTCATGCAGGACTGCCCGCAGCTATACGACAACGTAACCCTTCACTGTACACTGTACACTGTACAATAAGTATGACTAACCGTCCGTGTGGGAGCTGGTGTCGTGGGAGCTGTCCTGCCACCTGTACACCCGCGCCGTGCTCATGCAGGACTGCCCGCAGCTATACGACAACGTAACCCTTCACTGTACACTGTACACTGTACAATAAGTATGACTAACCGTCCGTGTGGGAGCTGGTGTCGTGGGAGCTGTCCTGCCACCTGTACACCCGCGCCGTGCTCATGCAGGACTGCCCGCAGCTATACGACAACGTAACCCTTCACTGTACACTGTACAATAAGTATGACTAACCGTCCGTGTGGGAGCTGGTGTCGTGGGAGCTGTCCTGCCACCTGTACACCCGCGCCGTGCTCATGCAGGACTGCCCGCAGCTATACGACAACGTAACCCTTCACTGTACACTGTACACTGTACAATAAGTATGACTAACCGTCCGTGTGGGAGCTGGTGTCGTGGGAGCTGTCCTGCCACCAGTACACCCGCGCCGTGCTCATGCAGGACTGCCCGCAGCTATACGACAACGTAACCCTTCACTGTACACTGTACACTGTACAATAAGTATGACTAACCGTCCGTGTGGGAGCTGGTGTCGTGGGAGCTGTCCTGCCACCTGTACACCCGCGCCGTGCTCATGCAGGACTGCCCGCAGTTATACGACAACGTAACCCTTCACTGTACACTGTACAATAAGTATGACTAACCGTCCGTGTGGGAGCTGGTGTCGTGGGAGCTGTCCTGCCACCTGTACACCCGCGCCGTGCTCATGCAGGACTGCCCGCAGCTATACGACAACGTAACCCTTCACTGTACACTGTACACTGTACAATAAGTATGACTAACCGTCCGTGTGGGAGCTGGTGTCGTGGGAGCTGTCCTGCCACCTGTACACCCGCGCCGTGCTCATGCAGGACTGCCCGCAGTTATACGACAACGTAACCCTTCACTGTACACTGTACAATAAGTATGACTAACCGTCCGTGTGGGAGCTGGTGTCGTGGGAGCTGTCCTGCCACCTGTACACCCGCGCCGTGCTCATGCAGGACTGCCCGCAGCTATACGACAACGTAACCCTTCACTGTACACTGTACACTGTACAATAAGTATGACTAACCGTCCGTGTGGGAGCTGGTGTCGTGGGAGCTGTCCTGCCACTTGTACACCCGCGCCGTGCTCATGCAGGACTGCCCGCAGCTATACGACAACGTAACCCTTCACTGTACACTGTACACTGTACAATAAGTATGACTAACCGTCCGTGTGGGAGCTGGTGTCGTGGGAGCTGTCCTGCCACCTGTACACCCGCGCCGTGCTCATGCAGGACTGCCCGCAGTTATACGACAACGTAACCCTTCACTGTACACTGTACAATAAGTATGACTAACCGTCCGTGTGGGAGCTGGTGTCGTGGGAGCTGTCCTGCCACCTGTACACCCGCGCCGTGCTCATGCAGGACTGCCCGCAGCTATACGACAACGTAACCCTTCACTGTACACTGTACACTGTACAATAAGTATGACTAACCGTCCGTGTGGGAGCTGGTGTCGTGGGAGCTGTCCTGCCACCTGTACACCCGCGCCGTGCTCATGCAGGACTGCCCGCAGCTATACGACAACGTAACCCTTCACTGTACACTGTACACTGTACAATAAGTATGACTAACCGTCCGTGTGGGAGCTGGTGTCGTGGGAGCTGTCCTGCCACCTGTACACCCGCGCCGTGCTCATGCAGGACTGCCCGCAGCTATACGACAACGTAACCCTTCACTGTACACTGTACACTGTACAATAAGTATGACTAACCGTCCGTGTGGGAGCTGGTGTCGTGGGAGCTGTCCTGCCACCTGTACACCCGCGCCGTGCTCATGCAGGACTGCCCGCAGCTATACGACAACGTAACCCTTCACTGTACACTGTACACTGTACAATAAGTATGACTAACCGTCCGTGTGGGAGCTGGTGTCGTGGGAGCTGTCCTGCCACCTGTACACCCGCGCCGTGCTCATGCAGGACTGCCCGCAGCTATACGACAACGTAACCCTTCACTGTACACTGTACACTGTACAATAAGTATGACTAACCGTCCGTGTGGGAGCTGGTGTCGTGGGAGCTGTCCTGCCACCTGTACACCCGCGCCGTGCTCATGCAGGACTGCCCGCAGTTATACGACAACGTAACCCTTCACTGTACACTGTACAATAAGTATGACTAACCGTCCGTGTGGGAGCTGGTGTCGTGGGAGCTGTCCTGCCACCTGTACACCCGCGCCGTGCTCATGCAGGACTGCCCGCAGCTATACGACAACGTAACCCTTCACTGTACACTGTACACTGTACAATAAGTATGACTAACCGTCCGTGTGGGAGCTTGGTGTAAGAATATCAATTACCCCATATTGTGCTGAGGTGTCGAAAGACACTACAGAGCGAAAAAATCCAGGAAATAGGCAGCAGCTACTTAATTACAAAGGGAAGCCATTTTCAGCAGTAGACTTTGGTTGGCTGTAAGGAAAAGAAGAAGTGTGACAAGCGAGTACGCAATCCACCTGATGTTAAGTGGATGCTGTGACCCACAGACATCTATATCTATCCTTAATTAAGAATCAAAATGTAGATGTATTGTTACTCACATCATCATCATCATTACAGCCTTTCATAAGTCCACTGCTGAACATAGGCCTCCCCCAAGGAATGCCACAAAACACGGTTTGAGCCACTTGCAACCATCGACTTCCTGCATGTCTTACCAGGTTGTCACTCAATCTAGTGGGGGATCGCCCTACACTTCGCCTACCGGTACGAGGCTACCACTCGAGAACCTTTCTGCCCCCATTGGTTGTCGGTTCTTCGAGCTATATGGCCGGCCCACTACCACTTCAGCTTACTAATCCGTTGGGCTATGTCGGTTACTCTGGTTACACTGCGAATATCCTCAGTTAAGTATCTAAGTATTATCACGCAGAGAAACCCCGAGCATAGCCCTCTCCATAGCTCGCTGAGCGACCTTGAGCTTCCTCATACGGCCAGCAGTGAAGGACTACGTCTCAGATCTGTAAGTCATCACTGGCAACTTTTGAGGTATGTCTATATTGTTACTCACGAGGACAAAAATAATGTCTCGTTATTAGGTATTTAGGGTACCAGTTTTTTACGTCTGATGTTAACGTGATGGCAATACCGCCATCAATCGGAAGCCATTAATGCCGAAATGCTCAAATGTTGCTCAATTTTAAGATTGCATAAGTCTCTTGCTGTCTCTATCACATTAATTCGAAGTGACAGTGACACCATTATTCTAAATGACATCTTACAGTTGAGTAGCGTTTGAGTATTTGGCCATAAGTGTTTTCATTTTCCATAGTATCTTCTTACGTCACGTTCAAGACGTAATTTAGGGATGGATTCTTTTATACCGCCACACAGTCGACATATACACTACCCACTTAAGTTTAATAAGAATTATGCAATAACGTAAAAATGTTTATCTAATTTTTTGGATTTTTAAGACTTTTTTCAACCCTAATAGACTTCGTTCTTTAAGTTTTCTAAACTTATATTATATCTTTAACAGGAAGTGACTGAGGTGGCCGAGGCATTTAAACACGCTCTTAAATACTGTCTCTTGAGTCCAGGGCCTAGGCAGTATCTCTATCAGTTCCGAGCGGCTATGATATACCACCGGCTGGGTTCTTTATACCATTCACAGTTCAGGTAAGTTCTTATTTTTTGTTCTTATTTTTTTGTTAAATTTTTTTAATTTTGTTTTTGTCTGCTTCTACCATGAAGCAAATACAAAGAGGAGACGTTGTAATTCAATTTCACTATGAAACAACGCGTGACAATTTGCGGGGTGAGGGGATGCAAAGCCCCGCCCACTACACTATCTACATCTACCGATAAATAGTAAAACTACTCGAATCTTTCCATATCAATGTTGCAATGTAGCTTAGCTACCTTGACGGTAGATGGCGGCATATCCACAAAATGTTATAAACTAAAAAAAAATATTTTGCCGATTAAAATTTCTTTATGTCTGAATGCAAAACAAATTTTAGCACCTTCGTATGATTATTTTATCATTACTGAGCTCTACGTACCTTTATATTTTTAGTTCACAGGACACAAAGTGTCGCCATCTAGTGTGGAATATATTTAATTATATTTGAAAGCCGACGTAAAGAGATTTTTCTAGAACTATTTTAATAAATTAGGTGTAAAATTACTTACAAATGAAATGTGATGCCATCCATAGCATCGGAGCGTCTATCTCATGAAGCAAATACATTCAGACAAAGAAATTTTAATCGCAAAATATATATTTTTATAGTTTTCATAATAATTTTGGGAACAGGCCGCCATCTATTGTCAAGTAAACCTCATAAAAAATTACAAAAAGACAGGGCCGCAATTAGAATTCAATTATTTTACCCAGTAACCCAACATTCAATATTAAAATGAAGGAAATTGTACTTGGCTGATTTTTACAAAATGTTTAAGTTATATTTAACTGACATTCTATATGCAAAGAATCACTTAAATATAATTTAAATATGTTTATCATTTCGTGAAAGTCAACCTTCAAAAAATATTTATTTTATCCATAAAGTAAAGTCTCTTTGAAACTAAATATTCTATGTTCAATATTAAGTAGGATATTTAATTTGGAATTAAATATCCTATTTATCTCATTAATATTATAAAGGCGAAATTTTGTGTGTTCTTTCTATCTCCTTGAGCTTATTCCACACTAAGTATGTACTGTGTATGTGTAATTTTTTCACGCAGAAACGGCTGTACTATTATTTATCTGTGGGTTATACTACTTAATATCTCTGAGGGAGAACAAATAATAGACATATTATTATAATTAATATAATTTTATTTACAAATCAATTAAAATATTACAAATTAGGCATCCGAATGCACTTTTTGAATGCCAATCTAATAACATTAAATTGTATTTAAGTGATTCTTTGCATATAGAATGTCACTTAAATATAACTTAAACATTTCGTGAAAATCAGCCTAATGACAATTTCCTTCATTTTAATATTGAAAGTTGGATTAGTGAATAAAATAATTGAATTCTAATTACGGCACTGTCTTTTTGTTATCTTTATGAGGTTTACTTGACGATAGAATACGGCCTATTCACATAATGATTATAAACTATAAAATAATGTTTTGCGATTAAAATTACTTTATATCTGAATGCAAAATAAATTTCAGCACCTTCGTATGTTTATTTTACCAATACTGAGCTCTACGGACCTTTATATTTTTAGTTCACATGACACAAAGTGTCGCCATCTAGTGTCGAATATATTTAATTATATTTGAAAGCCAACGCAAAGAGATTTTTCTAGAACTATTTTAATAAATTAAGTGTAAAATTATTTACAAATGAAATGTGATGCCATCCATAACATCAGAGCGTCTATCTGAGTAGTTTTTACACAATAAAACACAACACTTCATCTTTTCTTCTTAATACTACGAAAATACATCGATTTGCGATTTTTTCAACACATGAGCGCACAGGACGAATGCTGACAGTATACTAACTAAAGCCACGCCCACTATGATGACGTCAGGACCTACTTAGAATCACAGTGCACAGTTGCTTATGCCGTCTCCCCTTTGTATTAGCTTCATGGCTTCTACAATCGAACATCCGCCCATCGAACGAGATGATTCTGGCTTCAAAAAGAGAGTCCTTCATGCCCAACGACTTTAGCGCGCTGATAAAGACGAAGAAAAAAAATACAATGCTTTATTTCTTCATCTTCAAAATATGAAGCTTTAAAAAAATGAAGCTTCAGTTATAGATGTAAATGAAGCTGCAGTCTTCAACAGATTTGATAGTATACATGCAATTGAACAGACAGATCTCCAAATGAATGCGGCGGGGCTTCCGCAACTTCAATACAGCTGGTATTGAAAAAGCTATCGTGCGGAACCAAGGCTCCAAAGTCTTTGCCAAAGATCTTTGAAAAAAGCCAGAAATAGCCAACTGTCAAAGGTGAAGACCGAATGTGGCAGCATCATTTTCGGGACACCTGAGATTTTGCGTGAGATTGAGAGGTTCTATGGACAGCTGTAGTACACGTTATCGTTGGAGCCACACACAAGTGTGAGTAACGATCCAAGAGCAACACTTATTCGACACTATTCCGATGATGTCCCAGACGTCAGTCTCAGCGAGATTAGAATGGCTCTCCAGCACCTTAATAATGGCAAGATCCCAGGCGAGGGTGGAATTATAGTGGAGCTTCTGAAAGCCGGTGGAAAACCGGTACTTAAAGTCCTTAAGAGGATCTTTAATTCCGTACTCCATGGTGGAACTACTCCGGAGGCGTGGAGCAGAAGTGCAGTGTTCTTCAAGAAAAGCAACAACGCTCTCTTGATGAACTACAGACCGATTCACCGTTTTCGAGAGTCATTACGAATAGTCTCGCATGCAGATTCGACTACTTCCAGCGTCCCGAACAAGCTGGTTTCTGAAAATGCTTTAGCACCATAGACCACATACATACCCGTCGGAAAATTGTACCGAAGACAGAGGAGTATAATCTGCCACTTTGCCTTGCGTATGTGGACTATGAGAAAGCCTTTGATGGCGGTGCTACAGTCTCTTCAGCGGTGCCGAGTTGACTGCCGGTATATCGAAGTGCTGAAGTGTTTGTACAGTAGGGCTATCCTGTCTATCCGAGTACAGAACCAGAGCACGAAACCTGTCCAACTACAGATAGGTGTAAGACAGTGTGATTACGTCATCTAACGGTACGATCCTCGAAACTCGTCACCGCTGCATTGGAAGACGTTTTCAAGCTACTGGACTGGAAAGGATATGGTATTAACATTAATGGCGAGTACTTCACTCACCTTCGATTTGCTGACGTTATAATCCTTATGACAGAATCGCTGGAGGACCTAAGCACTATGCTCAATGACCTCAATAGTGTATCCCAACGGATAGGTCTTAAGATGAACATAACAAAACAAAGATCATGTATAATGACCATGTCCCACCTATGGTGTTAGTTGTTGGGAGCACTAAGCTCGAAGTTCTTGACGAGTATGTTGACCTGCGATAAATAATCCAACTAGATAAGTCCAACTTCGGCCGAGAGGTCAATCGACGGATTCAACTCGGCTGGGCAGCGTTCGGGAAATTACGGCACATCTTCTCGTCAAGTATACCTCAAAACTTGAAAACGAGATTGTACAACCAGTGCGTGTTCCCAGTGATGACTTATGGATCTGAGACGTGGTTCTTCACTACTGGCCGTATGAGGACGCGCAAGGTCACTCAGCGAGCTATGGAGAGGGCGATGCTCGGGGTTTCTGCGTGATAAACTTAGAAATGAGGATATCCGCAGTAGAACTAGGGTCACCGACATAGCCCAACGGATTAGTAAGCTGAAGTGACAATGGGCCGGCCATATAGCTCGAAGAACCGTATCGGTAGGCGAAATGTAGGGCGACCCCCCACTAGATGGAGTGACGACCTGGTACAACATGCAGGAAGTCGATGGATGCAGGTGTCTTAGGACCGTGCTTTGTGGCATAACTTGGGGGAGGCCTATGTTCAGCTGTGGACTTGTGAAGGGCTGTAATGATGATCATGAATTTATGCATTGTATTCATAAATAAAATGTAAAGGGGTTTTCAAAAGGGCTGCTCCAACTTTGACAGCGTATAGCGGCCATCTTGGTAAAGCGATAGCTGTCAAACTTGAGAAGAATCCTTTTTTAATTTTTGCATTTCACCATGGAACGCTACAAGCTTTAAAAACTTGTTGAAATTGTTAAAGTTTATTATCAAAATCATTGCTCTGTTCACTTAACGTACCGCGCGTTGCGTCCAATTTATGACATTCAGGACGCCTGTCCTGCAGAGACCACAATCTGTTGTTTAGTGAATAAATTTGAGAAAACCGGGTCGGTGAAGCAGTGTCTGTACGTCAAAGATACGCAAGATTGTTCGAGAATATTGTTGCCGTTCGAGACATTGTGCGAGAAATCCCCAGACAGTCCATACCGCGTCGTGCGTAAGAGCTGGGTCTTTCTGCGACATCAACTTGGCGAATTTTGCGTCGAGACTTGGGTTTTCATCCATACAAAGTTCAATTAACTCCAGAGCTAAAACCCAACATCCACAGATAGCACCGTGTATTCGCTGATTGGGCTTTAGAGCATTTGGCAGCTGACCTTGCTTTCGGTTAAAAAATCATCTTCGGTGATGAGGCTCATTGCTGGGTGCGTGGTTTTGTTGTGAGTGAAAATCCACGGGAGATTTATGCGGTGTCTCTACACTCCGAAAAAGTCACTGTTTGGTGTGGATTTTGATCCTGAGTCATTGGCCGGCATTTTCATTTCTTCGAAGATACGCCGCGTTCACTGCCAATGGTGTCCAATATCGGATGATGATAACGAACACACCTGTTACCTAGGTTTAGTCTCAGTGCATGTGTGTATACGTTATATAATATGTTAGCACTACCTTTTAACTCGTAATTGTTAATAGATAACTATGAACTCGTATATAACTCTTAGTTGGAAGATCACACACCGACTTGTCTGTGAAGTCACAAGGCTCCAACTGAAAACCAGCGCTGTATTTGCAGCATTATGCTGAGTTGGAGACCTATTTGATGTCACATTTTCATATTGATTTTTTTTTCGTTTTTACCTTTTTGTTTGTTTGTTTTATTATTGTGTATGTACTGCTTCTCAATTGTATATGCGTAAACAGTGTTAGACTGGTACATGCATTCTTTTCCCCCTTGCTTTTGTGTATAATATTTTTTTAATGTGTGTAAAATGTGTATATCAAATAAATAGTTCTTTCTTTCTTTCATAAAATTGAGCCCCATTTATGTGAAGATGTCGTCCAAAACCGGCTCACCAGGATTTAACTTATAGCGTAGCCATTTGGCTGGAGTTATATTCGATACATAATGTCATCGAATGTCCTTTAAAATAAAATAAAAATTGTGGCAATATCACTTACACAGGTTGTTTTATTTCATTTCAAATTTAGAGCGTTCTTAATGAAAATCTCTGTGTTGGTGATTCTCGGACCTTTGCACCTTGTGTATTTTCAAAAAGGAAGTAAGAGGAAAGTAAAAGAAAGTAATTTAAAAGTCCAAAGTTTAACATATGATTCTCTTGCTGCGTGACACCTGGTTCCTTATATCTTCAATTCTTTCAAAAAAACATGTCTTAATACGACCGTAATAAAGGGCAGACGAGATTTAATGAGATACTGCTTTGTTTTTCTCAAACCTAACCTGGAATCTCTAAAGGCTATATAGGGCTCTATAAGGCACACACATTTATCCCCGATTAAGAATTCAAAGTGTTGTCATCCCTGAATGCAGATCCGTTGTCATCCCTGAGAACTAAGATGGATGCCTCGTTTCCAGTAGAAAAGGTCTCCGGTTCTCTACACTTACCATACGAAACAGCTGCATTAAGTTGCTATTTCACTCTGGTTCTCTGTGAGGGCGTAATCTTTCCCCGGTCTAACCGACCCATTCGCGCTACAACCGTAATAATAAAACTGTAGCGTGGCTCTACCACGTGTAAAAATACTAGCTGCGTTAGTTTTTAGAAAGACGCGTTAGAGACTCAAAATAAGGATTGCTTCAGAATAACGCAGGAGGACGGTCCGAAGCGGCGGACACTGCTGAATGCGACGCGCACCAACTACGAGGCTGCGGCGAACCTGTTCGCGGGGCTCGAGGACGCCGCCATGTTCCTCACCGTGCGCCTCGAGCACGTCGCCGCGCTGGAAGCGCACGCCGCAGGTCAGCTTTGCGCACTAAACACCACATCACTCCTCCATACTTCCACATTACGCTTCTATACCACACTTCTAAACCACACTTCCACACCTCCATATTTCCACACGAAACTTGCACACCACACCACACCACACCTACACACCTTCACACCTACACGCCTTCACACCTACACACCTTCACACCTACACACCTTCACACCTACACACCTTCACACCTACACACCTTCACACTTCCACACCTACACACCTACAAATCTCCGTAAATCCACACCACACCTCCACACTACACTTCCGCACCTCAACACCTCTACACCACACCTGCACACCTTCACGCAACCACACTCCACTTTACACCACGCCTCCACACTTGCACACCATGCCACCATACTTCCACACGACACCTTTACACCATCACACGCACGCACTACACCTCCACACCGACCTTTCCGACGGCAACACGTGTGGAGTGCGAATATACGAAGCTGTCTAAAGTTGTAACCAACTTCATACAAAGGCTGCAGATAATTTTAGTAGGATTTTTTTAAAACGTTATTTGTATGAAAGCACCGCGTTTTCAGTTTCATGCTTAAGAAGGATCTTGAATAATCCACCAAACTCCTTAAAGTGCTCTGGAATTTTTTTCATATAATTAAGGGTGATACAGGAGCACACAGTTCATATCATGGTAATTTGATACTGTCACCAATAGACACATTTATCTCTCTGATCATTAATATGGGTGCCTTGATTACCAGCATACTAAACAGAATTTGCTGCCATTTCACGCTAGTGTTTGTGCAAGCGTAGTCCTGCCCCGGTCTGCCAACACATTCGAGTCATACGTGGTAGCGTAGTTGCACGTAGTAATGTGCCAATCGTTTGTTTCTGATGACTCGATCGTCCAAGAATCGAAATTCGTCAAACGAACCGGGATCTATCATTCAAATGAACCATTTCAGGTTTCAGTACTCTGTTTTGACCAGACAAGAGAATACCAGACTGAGATCCTGGAGAAATCGGCGCATGAGTACCGAAAACTCCACCTCAATTTTTTATGCGATTCTCTTCAAATTGTCCTACTGTTGATATAAATGTATCTTGCCATGGGGCAACTCGGTGGTATATTGTTCAAACCCATTTTTTTCCATTGCAAGGAATTGTTATTTACAAACGGGACATTTGTTTTAAATTCTTTGATGAAATATGAATAAAAAAGGTCCTATGACTTTTTACGCAAAGTTAATATTTTCTGAGTTATTAATTTTTTAAGGTTTGAAAAATCTCAAATTCGGATACTTTTGACCCATTAATAATACATAAAGAAAAAAAAAAATATATATAGATATTTTTTATATTGGTCCATCTTCAGTTTTATTCAAATCATCGAACCACACTTCTCTTATCACACAATTTCTCACCATATCATTAATAAATGCGGTGGGTACTAGAGCATTAATTTTACTCTTATATACGTATATACAGATTTTATACGTGGTAGAGCCAGCTACATTATGGTTGTAGCACGAATTGGTCGGCTCGACCGGGAAATGACGACGCTCTCGCAGAATACCAGCGTAAAATAGCAGCTTAACACTGCTGTGTTTCGTATGGTGAGTGTAGAGAACCGGAGACCCTTTTTACGAGATAAGAGGCGTTCCATCTTAGTCCTCACGGGTGACAACACATCTGCATTTTGATTCGCAAACGAGGATAGATGTAGATGTCTATGGGCCACAGTAAACACTTACCATCAGGTTGACTGTGTGCTCGTTTGTCACCCTATCCTATATAAAAAAAAAATCTTCCGCCGACGACGCAAATATGACTTGTGATAGTCGGCGTTCAAGAGGCATTGGACGGATAGCTCACCCATTCTTAATCCACAAATTTCTACTTTAAGTTTCTAAATAACATGATTAGGTCGTAAACACATTGAATAGCCACGGGTAAGCTAGACAACTCTATCTGACACCTTTGTGGATGCCAAGCTAGTCCCCTTTGTGGTATTTTACGCTGGTATTCTGTGAGAGCGGGGTCCTACCCCAGTTGAGCCGACTCTATCACGAGTTAATACGTAAACGTGTTGAGGCCACGTCGACACCTCGAAAGTTTATTGCTCAAGTAAAACATTACGTTGCCTATTCGTTTCAGACATTAAATAAATAACGTCTGCACAGGGGCTTTGTCGTAATCCTTATTTGTGAACAATTGTTTGAGATTGTAAAAATTCCTTAGCAAAATAAAGTAAAGCTCCTGTTTTTATTGCTATTTTTTTTTACGTCTAAAATTATCTGTACAAATAAATAAAATTGGAGTGTCTGTATGTAATGTCAAAATAACAGCTTTTCACTAAATGCATATATTTATATGAAAGTATATACGATATCTATAATAAAAACACAGTTTTTTAAAAAAAATGTCTGTCTGTTTGTTCCGGCTAATCTCCGAAACGACTGTACCGATTTTGATGGGACCCCCACTGGCACACACCAGATGTTATAAGGAGTAACTAAGGTTACTTTTATTAAGAAAACGAATGAAAGTTCTGCGCAAAAAAGTTAAAAACCAAAATTATACGCGGGTGAAGTCGCGGGGAGCTACTAGTAATTATTTTTTTTTATAGTATTGTGTTGTTTGTCACCCTACAAACGAGCACACAGTCCACCTGATGGTAAGTGGTTGCTGTGGCCCATAGACATCTACGTCTATCCTCGTTTGCGAATCAAAATGTAGATGCGTTGTCACCCGTGAGGACTAAGATGGAATGCCTGTTTTCCAGTAAAAAAGGGTCTCCGGTAAGAGAAGTGTAGAGACACTCACCATACGAAACACTGCCGTGTTAAGCTGCTATTTTACGCTGGTATTCTGTGAGAGCGTGGTCCTTCCCCGGTCGAGCCGACCCATTCGTGCTATACTACTAGCAGCATGGCTCTACCACGTAAATATTGTAGACTAATAGGGAATGAAAAGTCACACTAGCTTATTGAAGGGTTCATTTTTCTCTTGCAGTGTCACCAAACCTCAAACTTAAGTCGTTACAAACGGCGGTCCAGCTGCTCCGTCAGTGCCATTCGATCATGAAGCTGCTGAAAAACAGAGACCCGGAAGAACACAAAGAGACGCCGAGACCGGAGGACGGAGACGAAAAGACCACGAAGAATGAACACAGCCTCCTATGTCTGTACGAAAACCGCCTACATCACATACTGAAGAGCATCATACAGTACTGCAGGTCGAAGTCGAATAAAGATTACGATAAAATGACCGATATGTATAAAAAGCTGTATTGTGCCAGTTTGAAGATCAAAAAGGATGAAGATATCAGGTGTTACGCGGCCAGTATATGCGACGTGCTAGAGACAATGGACGAGATCTCAAAGGAGTTCGAATAGTGCCTTTATTTATTTTGTGTTAGTTTCATCTTTGTTTATTGAGCGATAAGAGAAATCAATATATTATGAATAAATGATATTTGGAGAAGTAGAATTGTGTTTGATTGTTATTTTCCATAATTTCGCCTAGATGGAGGACTGGACAAAAGTAAAAAACTTAAATTATAGAATTAGGGTGACTAAGGAACACATAGTTCACCTGATGTTAAGTGGATGCTGTGGTTCATAGACATCTACACTATCTTTGATTAACTAAAATATCAAAATGCAGATGCGTGAAGAAAGTGTCTCCGGTTCTCTACACTCAACATACGAAACTTATTTTAAATATGTATATATTATTCTAAGCCAGCGCTTAACTACAATGCCATCTGATGGTAAGTGGTGAGGTAGCCTAAATGGTGAAGCGCACTGACTTAACAAAAGCCTATTCACTCTTGCCTTGAAGACACCCACATTATATTCCGATGGAAACGCATCTGCAATTCCCGTGGTGTTGCAGTTGTTCATGGGCGGCTGTAGTCACCGTTAGGTGAGCCGCATGCTCGTTTGCCACCCCTCCTATAAAAAAGGCCTACTTCAGAGCCTGCAATCATACTGGCACTCTTAGCCTTAGCTTTTTAATCCAGGAATAAGTTTTCAGACCAACAAAGAAAGATATACAGTACAGCGCTTTAAAAATATTTTTTTAATATCTCAGACATGCAGGTTTCCTCACGATGTTTTCCTTCACCGCAGAGCACGTTGTAAGTCAGAACTTAAAATTGCGTTTAACAATTTTTTTGATGCCGGTCGGGATCGAACCAATGAAATTGATGCCCGTGTTCTGACAGCGTATCAAACGTCATCCGTATTGTCATATAATTAAGAGTGATTGCCGCGTTGGTTCACTAGTCGTAAACGCGGTTGTCTGATCTGAACTGATCATGAGGTTCCTGGGTTCGAATACCCGAGTCGGACCAAAATCAGTAATTGTTTTTTTTTGTCAAGAAGTTCTCAGTGGCAGCCCGGAGTCAGAAATTAGGTGCTGTTTTTAACCTCGTGACTCGGAAAGCACGTAAAGTCGTAGGTCTTGCGCTTGATCTCTCCTGTCGTGTCGAATTACCGCCCAATTGATGAGAGCGAAGCAATAGAGAGTACACCTGTGCTTGCGCATACACTTGGAGACTATAATCCTGTCGGGCTAGTCTCCGTTGAGTCACTGTGACCGAAATTCGATCTGCCGGGCTATTCACAATCGTCTAGGAAAGCGAAATCGACTCGGATTCGATAACTTCTCGCACCGAAACCAATAAACGCTATTCACATTTAACGTTCGGATAAAGGTCACTTAGATATATGTACATCCCATAACTATTGTATCGTCATTTAGTTACATGCATTTACGAATTTTGTAGATAAATAGGCTTTTGTATTTTTTTAGAGTTACGCCTGAACAAAAACATAATGCTATATTTTGGAATTAGGCATTGATATCGAATATAAAAAATATATAATATATATATATAATAAATAACAAAAAAACTGAGATATGTCTCGTTTCTGTCGGGTCTGGGTTTTTTTCTATGGGGCGTGACCGTACTTCTTTGACGTTTGTTTTCGATAATTGTGGGAGTTTGCATCGGAAACTTCACGAGAGCTCTGAGGCTGGCGAAAACTTTTCGAATATTGATGATTAGAAGAGATAAATAAACCCTTTTAATTATAAGGTAGGTAACAAAAATTAATTACAAATATATATATATAGACATCTCAGTTTTTTGTTATTTATTATATAGTTAAATTATATATTTTTTATATTCGATATCAATGGCTAATGACCTTTATCCGAACGTTAAATGTCAATAGCGTTTATTGGTTTCGGTGCGAGAAGTTATCGAATCCGAGTCGATTTCGCTTTCCGAGACGATTGTGAATAGCCCGGCTGAAGGACATTATGATTATAATTATGAGTGTGATAAGCATTTTTGTCAAATATAAAATTGTCTTTTGTTAAAGTTTTTAATTTTGTTTGATTAATTCAGGTAACTACCTACTCTACTCTACTCTCATCCTATCATTATATTAACTCTGTAAACAGCCTTGTATTGACATTTCTTTTAATTGTTTACGGTATTTTATTGTTCTTGCTATAGCTTAGCATAAATAAGCTTCACAAGTGTACACGACTTTATTACCTGAAATAAATCAGGTAATAAAGTCGTGTACACTTGTAGATATTTTTAACGTGATTTTATTGTCTGATTTTATTGTACCTGCAATGCGTGTACTTGATTATGTTAAAAACATCAAATGTCACGTTTGCTTATTAACATACGTGGCAGAGCTACGTTGCAGCTATATTATGGTTGTAGCACGAATGGGTCGGCTCGACCGGGGTAGGATCATCTCACAGAATGATAGCGTAAAATAGCAGCTTAACACTGCTGTGTTTCGTATGGTGAGCGTAGAGAACCGGAGACACATTTTACTGAAAAAGAGGCATTCCATCTTAGTCCTCACGGGTGACGACGCATCTGCATTTTGATTCTTTATTGAGGATAATTGTAGATGTATATGGGTCGCAGCGGCCACTTACCATCAGGTGGACTGTGTGCTCGTTTGTCACCATATCCTATAAAAAAATTGGCAGGGGTGACCATAGTATCAGATATCTCAAATCTTTAACATCGCTCTCTGTCACCAATAAAGGTATTTATACCTTTTGTATTCCAGATTGTATACCGTCGTCCGTCAGTGCTCATGAGACTTTTCAGGCCTTTTCCATCCCATAGTCACCACAACGACACTCCTCCGATCTAATGAGGTGGTATTTTTTCTTCCGCCACCAACCCTGCATTAAGTTATACATGCATTGTGGACTAGAAGCTACATTTTCTAAGTGTACAAGTAAAAGACAGGTCTAATAAATAATAGTTTAAAAAACTAAAAAAGAAAACACGTTTTTGTAGATAACCGGACTAGACAGTAGAAAATAATTTTCAATAAGTTAAAAATAAGAAAATAGTGAATAACATTAAAAAAATATTTATTGTAATAAAGCATAGGTTGCTTTTTCAGATATTTTTATGATGAAGCTAATTTTACAAATATCTACAAAAATATTTACAACAAATGACATCAAGCAACCCACTCTTTTTACAATAAAATGAGTTTTTACGTTAGTCACTATTTTTTTTTATTTTAAACTTTTGAAAATTATTTTCTACTTTTTAGTTCGGTTATCTACAAAAGCGTGTTTTTTTAGTGTTGTTTTTAAACTATTATTTCTATATTTTAGTGCGGCTAACTACAAAAAAGTATATATTTTTTTGGAACGAAGTTCTTTTACGCGGCTTACAGTAGATTGAAATGGCAGAAATTATTCGCAAATCCAGAGGATCCTGGCAAGGTTAATGGGACAAACTATTTAAATTATTGCATTGTTGTCGGGCCTTGATAAGTGTGCGAAGTTTCAAATCAATCCGACGTTTTGATGGGGATGAAAATCACATTCAAAAATTCCGTTACATAGATGCATACCAAGATAATGAAAAGCGTGTTAAAAATAAAACATTTATTTATAAACAATTAAATCAATAGCTTATATTTATTATGTACAAAAACATAACAATATAAATTCATTTATATTATATTATCACAAGAAGTTACTGTTCAAACGGTAGCACCTAGCGTCTAACTTTGTACTTTGGTACTGGTCTTAAATAACGATAAATAATAAACATGGCCGTTCGATAAAACATAATACATACTATACCTACCTAACCTGTTTTCAGTTTTCTTTTCGACTATAAAATTTACAACTTCATTTCTTTACGGAGTAAGTTGATTAATTTTAAATGATATAGCTTTTTTTCGCAATATTTCGCTCACTGGCTTACTGGAATATTTTTTGAATCTGAACTATTCATTGACATTAGGTTTGTTTATATAGGTACGGGAGTAAGCGGGACATCATTTTAAGTAAATAATATATACTTGTGGCAGGATGCGCCGCTCTTCAATACCAAGAACTAATTAAACACAAAATAAAAGAAACTAGAGCATTTAGGACATAAAAAATAAATTTTACGCGCCAAAATACCAAAAATAAAATTTTCTTATTTATCTATATATATTTAGTAAAATTGCTAATTGGATTGGCGCTTGAAAATGACTATTTATTATATTTGTAATCTGTATTTTAATTACGAAGTTTTATTCTATCGATCGAACTGTCAGATAGTTGTTCTATAGGTAGTTATAAATTACCTATTAATATATACTAGTGAATTATAAAACACGCGGCACAAAACACTTCATATGGCAAAAATGTAGTAGAACTATATCTTAGTTAAAAAAAATTGGTAAATGATATGTCATTTATAATCTCGATAAATATATGTGTTCACTTCGTAAAAATAATCGTGCATTCTGGCTATATAAAGTTAAACAATAGTCACAAACAATGTTAACATTTAAACAATATACTTAATACAAATGTGTCTAGCGATTGTTTTACTTATAAAAAATTCTCTAAAATTCGTTACATTGGTCGAAACTTATGCCTTTCCTGGTTTTGATTTCCTGTAACAAAGTATAAATGTTTTAGAAACAAACATATTATCATCATAATAACGTCTTTTATGGAGATGAACATGATATTAGAATAGAATAAATAAATAAAAATGATTCCATTTTTATTCAATACTATAAGCAATGTATTTTAACAGTGGTAGAGCCACGCGGCAGCTTTTGCTGTCGCACGGATGGGCCGGCTCGAACCGGGGTGGTACCACGACCTCACAGAAAACCAGCGTGAAGTAGAGGTTTACCTCTGCGTTTCGCTTGGTGAGTGCAGGTGGCTGGAGGCCCTTTTTACTGGAAACGAGGCATTCCATCTTAGTCCTCACGGGTGGCAACGCATCTGCATTTTGATTCGCAAACGAGGATAGATGTCTATGGGCCGCAGCAACCACTTACCATCAGGTGGACTGTGTGCTCGTTTGTCACCCTTATCCTAGAAAAAAAATGTATGAACTATGTTATAAGTACCGTATATACTTTCATATGCATATATTAAAAATCTGTTATTTTGACAATTTTTATTTATTTGTATAGACGATTACAATAATAGGTACCTGTTAAAGTTATTTAAGCTTTACCACTGCTTAGGAAAAAAGCGTCTGTTCTGGGAAGAACCAGCAAGAATTTATACAATTAATATGAAAAACATTTAGAAACAGCACGTACTCTAGTAGTATAATACTCCTTACTAACAATTTTTGGTTAATAAATTTTTTAAACTTTTTAATAGATGAGGCCTACATATATTCTGGAAGTTTATTGTAAAGGCGTATAAATTGCCCCATGAAGGAATTAATGACTCTTTGCATGGAGTCGTTTTGGACTTAAAATATAGATAACAACCCACCTGCCGGCCAGCATGTCCTGTATCTCCTGCAGACTCTTGCCCTTGGTCTCGGGCACGAGGAACAGCGTGAAGAAGAACCCGGCGACACAGCACACGCCGAACACCCAGAACGCCACGTACATCCCCACCGCATTTGCGATTGGCTCAAAGTACCTGCGCGGTAAAAATAATGTACAGCCCATAAGGCCATTGCCGGGGATAGCACATGAACAATGGTTACAACAACTAAAAACATTTATCTGTTCATGAAGCCAAAGCTTTGGAACTTGTTACCGTTGTCAATGAGGGCATCCATGACTTCTTCTGCCACCAGAGCGGCGCCACTAGGAAATGAGGTATAATATTTGGCAGATTTCATAGCGGGGAAGTTAATTTGTTCGGAAAATGTAAAGATTATTGTTTCTTTCTGTACTATGAACTATATTTTATATTAATAACATTGAAAATAAATAAAGCAAAAAACAGATATTCATAAAAGTAGAAAAATTAAAAAAAATAACTTAAAAATGTGCAAAAAAAAATTAAAGAGCAAACCACTCACGCATTTGTTTTCTGTATTAATTTAATAATTTAGAAACTGATAAAATTTTATAAAAAACTAACTTCTCAATTAAATTACACTGTGATACTATAAAAAACTTTACATCAGTGTCGACATCTGGTGAGCAGAAAATTATTAGCCCTCATTAAACATGTCGAAATTTTATATTTCCCTATCCTTTTAATAAACAATACTCTGTATTTAAAGTATGTATTGTACTTTAGATTTTGGTTTCTTATGTACTAGCTGACCCGGCAGACGTTATTTATTTTGCCCTTACCGATTGGTGGCGCGATGAGTTTCATTTTCACACACATATAGACGTGCCAACTCGGAAAAATTACGACTCGAGTTAACACGAGTTGAAATTCACGCACACTCGAGTTTAAACTCGAGTTGCGCAACTCGAGTTAGCAGTACGAAATAGAGTAAATAATTTGTTACAAATTACTTTTTTATATTTTATAATTTGTTTTTCTATCTAGCTCTTTGGTGGTTTTGGATAACTATAATTACTAAACTTATTCTGTAGGATTGATATAAAAAGGTATATTTAGTATGTATCACATACTTATGTATTTTTTGTTTAATCTCAGTTATAGTAAGTACCTGTATTTAACAACAAAACTAGCTACATAGCAGTCTTCACGAAGCAATATTAGTCTAGCGTTAAGATGAAGGTAAATAAGCCTAATCTATACTAATATATTAATATAATAAAGCGGAAGAGTTTTTTTTTTTTGTTTGTTTAAACACGCTAATCTCTGGAAGTACCAGTCCGATTTGAAAAATTGTTTTTGTATATTATAAGCCAGATTCATGTGGAATAGTATAGACTAGCATTAAGTGAGCAAGCAATGAGTGGTACTCAGCTACACTTAAATATGGATATTTGTTAAGCAAGTCAGAAAAAAAAGCACTCCCGAAATGATTTATCCGCGTACGCTGGTGTTATCGTTCTTCTTCTTCTTGGTCGTGTTCTTCAAAATTGAAGGTCGTGTCCGTATTTTAGTGCCTTCGTAGCGCTGTTCACTATAGCCCTCCATTCTGTCCGGTCCTCGGCTTTTTGCATTGCAGTCGTGAGTGAGAGGCCAGTGAGTGATTTGACCTGGTCTGACCAGCGGCTAGATGATCGGCCGCGTGGTCTTTTGCCCCCCACCTTACCTACGACTATGAGTCTATCCAAGTTATTAGGCGGGCGTCGGGCAATATGACCAAAGTAACTCAGAATACTCTGGTAACACGTGGTAGAGAGTCTGGTGTCAACACGAAGCTGCCCCAGGATCGATTCGTTGGTCCTCTTAGCGGTCCATGGTATCCGAAGCATCCTTCTCCAACACCACATTTCGAACGCATCAATCCTTTTCTTGTCTGCTGCTCGAATCGTCCATGCTTCAGAGCCATAAAGGAAGATGGAGAACACTAAAGTTCTGACAAGTCGTAGTAGTAGGTGTTATCGTTAGGGATACGTAAATACAATGTTCTAGAAAAATATAGACCTTTACTCCGTCTAAAAAAAAGTCCGCGATACCATATGTCTATTTCTTAATTTGGTATTTTATGACAAAAAAATATTGAAAATTTAAAAGTGATTTATGAGCGTTATTATTAGGCATGGCCTATTTATTCTTACGAACGAAAGTTACTTTATCATCAAGAAAATTTTATGAAGATATACTTTGTTCTTTATACCATGTTATTTGGACGCATAGTTTAAGAGATAATGTAAAATTAAAATAATTCAGTACTTGGCTGGGCGCGCGAACGACGCTTAAACCCCAGCCGTTATAAAATGCTTGAACTAGGTCATGTCGCGCACCTCGGACACGTGATTACGCGGGTGAAACCGCGGGGCACAGCTAGTAGCTTAATATTACAGTTAAATTATTGTTAAACAAATTTAACATCCCTTTCCGGGTAATACAATAAATAATAGGTCTGTGACTTACATAAATATATTGATCGTAATTAATCAAAATTATAAAAGAAATTATATTACATAACTTAGCCCTTATAAAATTCTAAATAACAAATTGTTTTGGTTGTAGCAAAATACTCTTTGAAAACAGACAGAAGTAACGACAAACGTACAGAAGGACTAATAGAACTATCAGCAGCCATAATGACATTAAATTTAAAAAGAAATACATAACCTTTTTCTTATTCCTCCGTAAACGGATAAAAATATGCCTATATGTTATACACGGTCATTCACTGCGTACACAAAAAATTTCACGGAAATTAGTTCGGTAGTATTTGCGTGAATCGTGATCACATATCTTTTCAGCAGATTTATTATATGTATAGATTTTTTTTTATTTAATAAACCCTACTCATAAATTTTGTTCCCTTTTGATTTCTTTTTGTGGGTTGTCTGGAAGAAACTATTGTGTTACAATAAGTTACGCATAAAGCGACATCTTACATTACTTGTATAAGTACATATATATCTAATGTATAAAAAATAATGTTTGTTTGTTCGTATTTTATGCGCTGCCATACCGTTCATTAGATTGTGGTAAAACTTTCTTAACTTATTGTTTGCACTTGCGCGAAGGTTATAGTCTTAATTAATTTATATTCGTAATTAATTTACCGTTAATGTATAGTCGTAATTAATTTACCGTTATTTGTACAGTCTTTCAATGAATGTATTATCATTCCTAATTAAACAATATAATTCTTCCAGATTTTCACAATTATTAGGTACTTCTGCGACAGTAATGCGCCGGGTATGTTATACAAATTATAATATTACTTTTATTTCAAAGAAAATCTAAAACAACTTACCGAGTCACCAAGAACGACAGAGTCCAGCAGAACGCCGTAGCTATTGGCGATGCGACGGCTTTCACCTCGATGGGGAACAGCTCGCCCATCACTGCCCACGGGAGGGGCCCCAACCCCCAGCAGTACGTCACTATGAACAGCACTAGTGACAAAATCGGCAGAAATCCGATGCTGGATACGACTGGGCTTTTCTGTTCATTTAAGAGGAAGTACATGCCTAGTAGACCCTGCAAATTTTATAAACTGTTGTTTTATTTCTTGTACTATTATTTATCCTGTGGTTTTATGTATATTATATACGTAGATATTCCTCACAACTTCGCCCGCGTGGAATTAGGATTTTTTATAGTATAAAGGTGACAAACGAACACAGTCCATCTGATGGTAAGTGGTTGCTGTGGCCCATAGACATCTACAACTATCCTCAAATATGAATCAAAACTCAGATACGCTGTCACCCGTGAGGACTAAGATGGAATGCCACAGCAGTGTTAAGCTGGTATTCTATGAGAGCGTGGTCCTTCCCCGGTCGAGCCGACCCATTCATGCTACAACTATACAAGTAATATAGCTTTTACATGGCTCTACCACGTAAAAATTTCCTGGGTTTTAATTTTTTACGTGGAACCCTAATTATTTTCCTACATTAAAAGTAGCGTAAATTATTTCTTATAGCATCAGATATCTGCCAGTGAAAGTCCCATCTAAATCGGTTCACAGGTTTTTGCTTGATGCGTGTTCAGACAGACGTCGTGTTAGTGTTTTACTATAGGTAGATTTCGCTTTTGCTCTTTACCTGTGAAGTTGCGGTTTTGTTGAACTAGCCACTTTGAACTGTTAACATAGACTAGCATTTAGTTTAGATAACTTTTTGATAGGCAACCCTTCAACTCCGAAGAAACTGTAAAGAACGCTTTTAAAGGGTTAATCGTTTTCATGCAGCAGATTTCTATAGTTAGGGCACCAATAAACTGCCCGTAAAATGGCAAGAATGTGTTGATAGTTTAGGCAAATAATTTAATTGATAATTGAAATATTTTACGATACAAAACGAGAATTATACAGGTGAAGAAAACAATTTGTATTTCTTTGTTTTTCCCGTAATATGCGATCTTAAACCATTCATCCGATTATGATGTAGTTTCATTGAGTTTAAGTGGGCACGCTTGCAAAGGTTTCTTATAGGCCGTCATTTCGCTTAAAGCATTGTAGAGCAGTTGCACTTATAATTCTTTTATTAAATATTATTAAGCAACAGTAATCTTTTGGCTTGCGAAAATACACCGTCTACTGGTAATGACAATATTGTTTTTATGTGGTAATACCTGGACGACCGAGTTTCACTCGACGTTAGCAAAATAATGCTTAGGGATGATCTAGATGAACTAGAAAATTGAAACATTGTCTAAATATAAACTTTCATCCAAATTATTAGAATCGATTCCAAGAAAACAATTACATGAAAATACGTATATGATTTTTTTTTAAAGATTTGACGAACGAACTGGCAGACTACCTGATGGTAAGTGTAATTAAACTTTAAACAAAGAATGCTACAGATAAACAAGAATTGATCGTTGAAAGTAGTAAGATAAGTTTTTTTTTTTTTTATAGGAGAGGGGGCAAACGAGCATGCGGCTCATCTGATGGTAAGTGACTACCGCCGCCCATGAACAACCGCCGTCCCTAAGTCGTATCGGTCCGGAAAAATCGCTAGTGGTAAACTATTCCACAAGGAAGTTGTGCGAGGAAGAAAACATCTTCTAAATGGCACAGTGGTGGACCGCCAATCATCCAGATGGTGTGGATGGTATCGGGAGTTCTGCCGCGATGTGCGTTCGTGAAATTTGGCGGCTGGGATTAATCCGAACAATTCCTCAGAGCACTCCCCGTGGTAAATATAAGTGTAATAAAAATAAGTGTTTTAAGAAAAACAATATAGACTTTTCTTTAATATTTTGTTTTCGATCACTCAATAACAATTACCTAACAGCAGGGCTAGCATGGGCAGGAGACAATTTTATCCCTGGGGAAATGAGAAAATGTTTATCCCCTTGCTTAGTGTTATCCACCCTTTGAGCATGGGCATTATGGCATACTGCTGGAAATAATATCCACAGTAGATAAAATGGGAGCTAGACTTAGATAGATTTTTTTGTATGAATATAACTTAAACCCACTCCAATGAATTAGGATAAAATAGTCCCATTCAAATGTCAAAAAAACATGTTTTTTTATCTTTCATTTGGCTCCATGCTACAGACGGGGGATATATGTCTACTTGTTATGTCAAACGGGGATATACTTCTCTCCGTTGCCGTGCTTTGGCATAAGGACAAGATAATTATATCTCTTGTCAGTGGATATAATCGGGGGATAAAGTTTTTGTCCTCGGCCTATGCTAGCCGTGCTGAAGTAAGTAACGGCACGTAAAATATTATAGTGCCACAAAACTGAAACCCAAGATAAGCTGTTGAAGGAGAACACAAAATGTACAAAATGAAATAGAATATATGAATTCACTCACCAGACCAATAGCAGTACCGCAAGTGGATACTAATAACAGGATACGTCTTCCAAGCCTGTCCACCACCAGCGGGGTTATCATTGAAGCGATCACCTATAAGAAATAAAAATATTCATTGCATTCCATTCAAGCCTATCATAAGTCCACTGCTGAACATAGACCTCGGTCATAGAGTACCTCCTAGAAGATTGCAAGATTTATAGATTAGATATATAGATTATATTATAGATTAGATTACGTGGTAGAGCTATGCTACAGCTATATTAATAGTATAGTTGTAGCACGAATGGGTCAGCTTGACTGTGGAAGGACCACGCTCTCACAAAGTACGTAAACAGCATTCTTTGGAGGTATTTTTTAATAGGATAAGGGTAACAAGCGAACACACAGACTACCTGATGAAAAGTGGTTGCTGTGGCCCATAGACATCTACATCTATCCTCGATTACGAATCAATATGAAGATGCGTTGTCAGCCGTGAGGACTAAGATGGAATGTCTCTTAAAAACGTGACTCCTGTTCTCCACATTCACCAAACGAAACAAAGCAGTGTTAAGCTACTATTTAACGCTGGTATTCTGTGAGAGCGTGGTCCTTCCCCGGTCGAGCCGACTCATTCGTGCTACAATTATACAATTAATATAGCTGCAGCATGGCTCTACTACGTGAACTTTTAAACGTTTCTGACGGGAATTATTTTAATCACTGTTTTTTTTTAAAGTACAACACTAAGCTCTTTCTATCTGGACCAGCGACAGGAATCTGTCTCGAAGGTCGAAAAACTTTATGAATTTAACTTATAATATGAAAGATATCTCAACTTACTTGTACTGCACCAATGATAATTGTAGCAATAGACGGGTCCAGATCGGAACCTGCCGCACTAAAGATGGTGTTCATGTAGAAGAGCACAGCGTTGATCCCACTGAACTGCTGGAAGAACACTAACGCACAGCTGATGTAGAATGCCTTGAAATTACTCCCACGGAAGACGTCTGCCAGCTGTGGACAGAAGAAGTTAAATTTTGAATCACAGCAGCTCAATGCTGATGTCCGGAAAAGTCGCCTGTGGTAAGCTATTTCACAGAGAGGTCATACGCTGCAGAAAACTCCCAGTAAACCGTACAGTGGTACAGTGGTTATTGAAAACTTGGTTGGTAATTGAAAACAGTAAGGTATGACATCTTGGTCTTCAAGGATGTTTACTTATATTTAACTAAATTGCTTAACTAAAATCACACTTAGTAGCACGCACTGATGAAGCCTTAGGTTTTTTTTACAAAACGAAAGTGACAAACGATCTCACAGTCCACCTAATGCTAAGTTATGAACAGCAGCAGCAGTCCATGGACGCCCGCCTACAAACTACAAACAAACAAAAAAGAAGGTTAATGCGTTGCCATCTTTGAGGACTAAGATAGGAATGTCTCATAGCCTGTAATTTGACTTTCTCTCCCTTTAGACCGGAACACGTCTCATGAATATTCCCCTATTTGCCACAGTTGCTATGCTTGGTGTGTCGGCAACCACAGTTTCTTATTATTTTGAGCTGTGAGGAAATTGCTGCCGCTCATCTCTTGTTTCAGTTTTGCTCTCTCGCCTCTTACAACACCTACGGGGAAATACGATGAGGCGGATTCTATTATAACGCCACTATACACCTAGTTGTCACGTTTATGTTACAAAATTATGTTACAAAATATTACAAAAATATAATTAAAAATTAAAAATTTTGTACAACCAACTTCAATATAAATTATTAAGAATAACTCAAAAACTATTGGTAAGACCTTGATCAAATTTATATGGGAACACATGTGAAGCACCAACTTTCAAATTAAAAAAGAATCATCGAAATCGATTCACCCAGTAAAAAGTTATGAGGTAACACACATAAAAAAACATACAGTCAAATTGAGTCCTGTATTTTTACTTGCCGACTTCCAAAAAGGAGACGGTACTCGATTCGACTGTATGTTTTTTTTCATCTTAATAAAGAAAACCAAGATATATAAAACTAAGGCTGACCGTCGCAGTCTTCTCCATAGAAGCGCTGATATCAGCAGCCATTTGGTTGAGCTCGGATTCAACTCCCGCGCGGGATCGGCCACGTATACACATCAAGCATTCTGCTGCTGACTCTCGGTCATCTGTTGAAAAAATTACAGCGTAAAAATGTTTATACAGCTATAGTCTCATTACTTCTCTCCAGCAGCTCAAAATCATTTTTTTAATAGGATAAGGGTGACAAACGAGCACACAGTCCACCTAATGGTAAGTAGTTGCTGTGGTCCATAGACATCTACATTTATCCTCGATTACGTATCAAAATTCAGATTCGTTGTCACCAACGAGTACTAAGATGGAATGCCTCGTTACCAGTAAAAATCTCTACAATCGCCTTACGAAACTCTGCAGCATTAACCTATTATTTTACGTTGATATTCTGTGATAGCGTGGTCCTTCCCTGGTTGAGCCGACCCATACGTGCTAAACTATACCAGTAATACATGGCTCTACCACGTAAATACAGTGTAAAAAGACTTTGTAGGACACAAAGCCTTTTCAGCTAAAAAGGAACCTTTGTTCTTTAGAGCGGGTTATTTCAAATGGTTGGTTTACGTAACATATGAACGCCGAATAATAATGATAACGCGTTATCTTTTTTAAAGTATCGAGGGTTTGGGGGTCTTTTGTAAATTCGCGGTTTGTGTCTTAACTATTAGCCTTTCTTTTGCTTTAATTTTTTTATTTAACGGAGATTATAGAGAGTTTGCGGACATTTATTTACGTGGTAGAGCCATGCCGCAGCTATATTACAGTTGTAGCACGATTGGAATAACTCGACCGGGGAAAGACCACACTCTCACAAAATACCAGCTTAAAATAGCAGCTTAAGGTCGCTGTGTTTCGTATGATGAGTGCAGAGAACCACCGGAGACCCTTTTTACTGGAAACGAGGCGTTCCATCTTAGTCCTAACGGGTGACAACGCATCTGTATTTTGATTCGTATTCGAGGATAGATGTAGATGTCTATGGGCCACAGCAACCCCTTACGATCAGGTCTACTGTGTGCTCGTTTGTCACTTTATTCTATAAAAAAATGTACGGTTTCCGGCAAGATGAAAACGGATAGATATAGATTTCTTAATTCACCACTTACTTAAAATATATGTAGTCGTATAAATAAAAATACAAACAATACTTACTCTTAATAAGGTGATACATGGGCGATTCTGGCATAAAATAGAAGCAGACAGCGAACACTGCCACAAATGCCACGCCGACGTACGCAACTGCGCTGTACGAGATGAAGGGACCGATGCCGTACACCAACAAGAATCCGAGGGTGATGAAAGCCTGCAGGAAGGATCCGAGTGCACCTCGCACGTCATCCTGGAGGATAAGAATAATATTGCAACTTTTTAGGGATCCATTTTCATATGAGGACCCATTATAACTGCGCTCCTTCCGTCTACGCTAGTATATCGTAATTCATAACGGTTTAACATTTTAACATAAAGGTTTTAAGCCCACTGCTATCGTCACGCTAGGCAGGTAATTGACGATCGCACTATCAGACAGTATTCAACTTTGACGCTGCTGTTAACGACGGCATGGGTATTTTGTCTCATGTTAGATGCTAATACCACCATTTTATATCTAGTGTAAGATGTCTGGGAGATAGTAATACCACTGTGGTCGTGAAAGGAAAAGGGGAAATCTCCCGACGGGCAAAGTGTTCAGCCCGGGAGCGGCCAACGCTCCGAGTGCCGAGTTGAAGTTTTTTTTGCGCCCAGAATTGCTTCTGGGCGCAAAAAAAAGTGATGGGGGGAGGGGGGAAGTGGTGAATGCTCTAAGCATACCACGACAGCCGGCTGCGTGGTTATGTGGAATTCACTGTGAAACCTAAGTTCCTACCCAGTACCCACTAAACACCACCTCAGAGACTGGCATTGCCCTGTATGACCTTTCTGCCGAATCAGAAGCACTTTTCATCTTTTTGACATTGACATATTTAGGGAAAAGGGGACGTATAGCCGAGTGGTTCTATATATACTGCTTTACTTCGGAACTTTCATAGCGCGATTTGGGCTTCGCCACCGCCATCTATAGGAAGCTATAAGATTTTTCCGGCATTTCCCATAGACGCCTCTTGGCACCCACGGGACAAAATGAGGTGATGGATTCCCTTATTATAACAAATCCTTTGACATTAATTAATTGATTCCCTGGTCCCCAAGCTAGTATAACTGTGTTTCGGGAGGCAGTTCCTCCCCTTAAAGTATAGATTTACTTTAAGGGGAGGAACTGCCTCCTGTCAAAAGTTCTTTAAAATAATAAAAAGACATTTCCTTAATATCTGTTATGTTTACGCGAAAACCAAGTATTTAAAAAAATTACTTTTTATGGATTTTGTCGCGTATATTAACTTATTTTATATTCCAGACGTTTTATTCGATGATTGATTTTAATCTGAAGGTAGCCGTGGTAAACTATTTTTTTTATAGGATAAGGGTAACAAACGATCACACAGTCCGCCTACTCTGTAATCTGTAAAAACTACTTTAATTTAATTAGTTAAATCGGTACAGAAATATAAATATGACATTTGCAGGTATATCCTTCCTTTGTACCAAGTCAAACTAACTGGGCTGTTAATAACTTAAATAGAGATCTAACGAAAATCGCCCAGTGGTCAGAAGCCAACACTCTTGTACTCAATCCAGCAAAATCAAAATACATAGTATTGGGATCAAAGCCACAGATAAATCGAATAGTTGCAAATAATCCTGATCTGTGTGTCCTCGGGGAGAAGATAAAGCTAAGAATCTGGGGTTGCTGATGGATGACGCGCTTCGCTTTGTGAGACACGTGATCGAGATCACACGTAATTGCTTTTACAGACTAAAAGTATTATACCGAGTACGTGACTTTTTGAGTGAAGATCTGCGCGTTAAGCTTTGCAACTCCTTTGTACTCTCCAGGTTAAACTATGCCGATACGGTATATGGACCAAGGCTACTTTCGAAAACTGACCGAATAATTCAGAGGATCCAAAATGCTTGTGCCAGGTATATACACCACATTCCCCCACGAACTCACGTCAGTCCCTTTTTAAATAAATCAAAATTACTAAGAATGTCCCAATTAAGAGCACTACATTTAGCAACACTAATGTTCGGTGTCTTTCAAAACAAAAAGCCCGGGTATCTTTTTAGAAAAACTAAAATGGCGCAAGGACGGTAATTTTAAGGACATTCGAACAAAATCAAATGTCCTTTCAATACCAAAACACAAAACGGCAGCATTCCGCGGTAGTTTCTGATATGTAGCTACTAAATGCTGGAACAACTTGCCCCCACCTATCCGCCAACAAAATACCATCAGCCTTTTCAAGGTAAAAGTAAAAGAATATTTTTGTCACTTTAACATTTAGGGCGGATAAAATAGCTGCATTATATTTTCATAGTATTATATAAATATCTATATTGTTTTATTGCATATACTCATTATATTATTTATTATATACATTTATATATACCTACTGCATAAATAAAGTTCCCATCCTTTTTCGTTTCCATTATTTTATTTTATTATTTTGATAACATCTTTCTCGAAAATAGAAATAAAGCGAACACACTATCCTCGCGGGCGAGTCCAACCTAAATGGGCATTGCTGAAAACCAACGCTACCGCAATCCTGCGATAGCATTACGTTGAGTCAGTGCCCTGTTCAGCATCACATCACTCATGCAACCGGATCATTTTATGACTGTTTTTTGTTATTTACTTTGATCTTTGATGTTTTTATGTATTATTTTATTTTCTGTATCAAAACTGTATGAGTGTATGTTGCTGAATAAATGCATGTCTATGTCTATGTCTATGTCTACATGTTCAGGGTTGTTTTGCAATAACCAGCCAAATTCGCAAAGAAGGTTCAGAATAAGTAATATAGGCAAATGGTGAAGAAAATTTTACTAAAAAAATCTCCAATATTCTGTTCTTTTTATCTTTTAAATTCTAAAATATGGTAATCATTCATCACTAATAAAAAACTAGATACATAATCAGTGACTAAAAATGTCCTCTGCTTTGTGAATACAACTTTAGACAAACCGTTTAAGGTTGAATTTACATTAATGTATATTTATTTCTACTAAAATTACGTCAAACAATTGGCGACAGTTTTTAGAGAACTCTTGCATGGGATTGTGTATCCAGTTTTTTATAAGTGAGGTGGTAATGTATAATTTTAACTGGTTTTACTGCGTTCCCGAATCCGATCGACCCTTACGAATGTGTGCGTACATTGGTAAGGGGCGATCGGTACGAAAAAACTCATTAAATCACATTCAATTTGGGATAATTTCAAATAAAAGTAGAAGCATTATTTACGGGTATTTCCAAAAACTGCAATAACGGTATATCATTATTTATATATTTGAACTTAAGTTTAAAATTTGGCTACTGATTGAAAAATAACCCTGTATAAAAATAAAATTGTTTATTAACAATCTACTACACGAATTCATTGACTAATGCCCCCTGAGTTAGAAATTACATAGAATGAACACATTGTCATGTAAATAGGTCAGTAACCGTCAGATCGGTCGGGTTATCATTCGGATACTCCTAAATATACAACCGAGTCGTTGTAATGTAACAAACGAGTCCGAAACTCTTTAATGAGGGTACTGCGTTGAAGTTTATATGTACAACGTACTAGAAGAGACGTATACTTACCGTAGCGATTTCGGCACAGTACATTGGCGATACGGTGAACAGCATCCCGACGGCGATACCCCAGAATATTCTGCCGCCGTATAGGAATCCCACGTTGGTAGCAGCTGCCACCAGGATCCAACCCACAAACAGTGGGATGGCGGAACTGAGGAGACCCCATTTGCGTCCAATTTTCGAAGCCGCTAAACCCCCAATGAATGGACCTATTGGGATTGGAAAAATATGATTTAGATATTGATTTAATAAAGTAAATGGATTTTAAGCGTTTTAAGGCGGTTTAATTTTTTTTATGGTTAATATTAGATACTTTGCACTCTACATTTAGGCACTCGCATCTCAAAAAAAAAAACAGAACGTCCTATCGTCTATCGTGCTAACCGTCTGTTAAGACACTCTCATTTTTGAGAGATTTATGGAGAGATTAGTCCGGAGCGCTGCTCCTATACGCGTTGCCCGACTTCACATGTCCTCAAAAAAGTTTATATAAGGCCGTTTCTTATAAAAGGAGGCACGTGAGCCGTATCACCTGATGGTAAGCGGCTATCGCCTCCTATAAACAACCGCAACACCAGTGGAAATGCAGGTTGCTTGCCTTTTCAAAAGAGTAGGCTTTCTTAAAGGTCCCCAAATTGTATACACCTAGTCGGCGTATATATAAAGAACTCGAGTTGCTTATCAAAAGAAGAATTTATAATTTACCAAAAATAGCTCCTACGGGCAAGAGGGAGCCCACCCAGGCCGACTCTTCTGTGCCCAATGGCGCTGGCAGGGGGGAGTCCGTCAGGTTTTTGTCTTGCAGCTTGATGTTAATTGGTGAGGTCCATCCCATAGAATAACCAGTGGAGGCGATCGCGATGTTCGCTGGAAGAGAAAACGTAGGTAAGTAAAAAGTCCCGGAAAAGTAGCCGATGAAGTAATAAAAACGATTTTCAACCGACTTCAAAAAGGAGGAGGTCCTCAATTCGACTTTATGTTGGAACGAAGTTCCTTATCGAACGGTACGAGTTTGGCGGATGGGAGCTAGGCGACAAAAAGTGTAAGATTTTTTTGTCACTACCGCCTTTTTTTTATTTATTTAGGGATTTTTATTTGTTAATATGTCAATCCCATTATAACTAACTTAAAATCTATACATTTATTATTAATCTGCACATACTCAATGCAATATCCGAGGTGGGGGCATGTAGAATGCCTTGGGCAATACCCATATTGTACATATTTATCTTATAAGTCCTTATAAATAATTCCCTTGCCCCTCGGTTCCACTCACATTCCATTAAAAAATGATGTAAGTCTTCTATTACTCCACACGTTTCACAATTAGGTGAATCAGTTTTTTTCATCAGATAAGAAAATTTTTTTGATGGGATGTGACCTGTTCTTATTCTAAACATTATTTTAATAATATTTCTATTTATTTTTGTGTCTATAAACCAGGGTATTCGGGGTGGCTCACTCTGTATCGTTTTGTACCAAATACCTTTCGTTTTGGAGCGTTCATTGAAAAACTCTTTGCATTCGGTATGACATGAATTTCTGAATTTTGGCAATACTTCTGAGTAACAGGGGTTAATATTATACTCTACACCATTTACACAAGCAGAATTCGCTCCTGTCACTACCCCTTGTATCATAGTGTATTTTATTAATCAATAATATAATACGTGATGATGATGAATGATTCTTTTTTATTTGAAAGCTGTTGATTCTTATGTAGTCCCATATAAATTTGATCAGATGTGACCAGTAGTTTTTGAGTTAACCTTAATAATTTATATTGAAGTCGTTTGTACAATATTTTTAATTTTACCACTTGTAATTTGAAATGTTGAGGTTTCGGTCATCGACTTTCATAACCTTTCTTTATTTACATGAAATAATCAAAAACATTTCTTGTGAAACGTGTTTAATTTGATTACAGCATTAAACCGCGTAATGGTGGTGTAAGAATATCCATTACCCAATATCGTCCTGCAGGTGTGGTAAGAGGCGACAGAGGGAAACTTATACGTGGTAGAGCCATGCTGCAGCTATATTAGTAGTATAGTTGAAGCACGAATGGGTCGGCTCGACCGGGGAAGGACCACGCTCTCATAGAATACCAGGGTAAAATAGCAGCTTAACACTGCTGTGTTTCATATGGTGAGTGTAGAGAACCGGAGACCCATTATACTGGAAAAGAGGCATTCCATCTTAGTCCTCACGGGTGACAACACATCTGCATTTTGATTCGCAAATGAGGATAGATGTAGATGTCTATGGGCCACAGTAAACACTTAACATCAGGTGGACTGTGTGCTCGTTTGTTACCTTATCCTATAAAAAAAAACAACCCGGAGATGGGCTGCAGCATCTTCCTAATAACAACTATAAAATGAATAACTGCGGTTGCCAACCCGCCAACTAAGTGTGACAACTATGGAAAATATTATGAGACAGTTTATGGGAGGCCTATGTTCAGCAGTAGACTTTTAATAGGTTATATAATATAATAAATGAATGGATGGATTATTAATTAATCTAACCTTTAAAATTTTTTTACCAGGTAGAGCCATGCTGCAGCTATATTAGTATAGTTGTAACACGAATGGGTCGGCTCGACCGGGGTAGGACCACGCTCTCATAGAATACCAGGGTAAAATAGCAACTTAACACTGCTGTGTTTCGTATGGTGAGTGTAGAGAACCGGAGACCCTTTTTACTGGAAAAGATGCATTCCATCTTAGTCGTCACGGGTGACAACGCATCTACATTTTGATTCGTAAATGAGGATAGATGTAGATGTCTATGGGCCACATCAACTACTTACCATCAGGTGGACTGTGTGCTCGTTTGTCACGCTATCCTATAAGAAAAACTTTTTAATAATGCTAATTTGTGGTTGGCAGATTAATATATTGGGGTGAGCACCAGATAACTGTGCGCGCCGAACCCCTGGCGCGCCCTCTATAAACGTCAACGCACGAGACCATGAAATGGTAACGTTTTCTACCGTCGTAAGTAAAAAAGGTGTGTATGTTGGGTTACAAGATAGAAAATTGCAAAGTCCTGACAAATAATCTAATTTCCATAAAAAAATCCTAACATTTTCTCTTTCTTTAAAAAACAAAACGTTACCTCCACATGTTCCATGTATCGTAGAGGCAGTTTACAAACATAAACCTCAAAAAGACAAACATCCAGACTCGGAAAAATCATTTGTAGGCCGGCCATACAAATACTTGTTCCGTGCGGGATTCGAACCCGCGACTCCTTACGCTGCAACTCATTGCTAAGGCACTGTGCCACGGAGCCGTCGAAAACATAACTTTCGTTGTAAACGTAATTAACAAGTGTGAACAGAAATGTGCACTCTCAATCCATGTCGCAGAAACCTATTGTATTTATTGAAAAATTCGAAAAAGCCTAACATTTCCAAAATCCGACCGCATTCCTGACAAGAGCTCAAAAGTCCTGATGCAGGACTAATCCTGACATATTATGGTATCTATTTGTATGCGTGTCAAAAAGAAAACAGTAGGTACACATAAACTTGATGCAATATTGCGATAATATTAAAACAAACATAGAATGTCAACATTTATGATCTTGTGTCTCGTATTGGGATGCAAAGAGTTGATAAGAACTTATAACGTAAATATGGCGATTGACGACCTACGTACCTATCTAATGTACATACGTCGTTTACGCAGTGATGCTTGTCAATCAAGAGAATTCCTGAGAGATTATATTGTGTGAATGCATATATTTACGCGTGTGTTAGCTATCAACACACGCGTAAATATATGCATTATACAAATAAAATACGTGCGTAGACATTTTGGCGACCTCTCATGATCCCGTTTAGAGACGGGATGGCAGAGGTGCCTGAACTATAAATGGCTCAAATATGAGTCTCTGAAGTATGACTACACACGTACACGTCCGGTGAATTAAGTAGTCTACGGGTGAAGTTTCTAAAGGAACTCTAAACTGTAATCTGCGACTTATCGTTCGTCTTCGTCGCCGTTGGTGACAAGGAGGGCTGGTTCTTTTTTCGCTCATAAACTTAAGACTATAGCCATTCAGCGGGGAAACAGCTCCATGCTAAATTTAGGTTTATGCAAATTTTTTTATTACAATAAATATTACCTATATATTTTAATATTATGTAATTAAAAAATACTAGTTAAAGTTAAAAGTTACTAGTTTTAGTTTTTTTTTCTTGTAGTTTATTATATTGTATTATATAACAAAATATTGTATATTATGTTATGTAAATTAATGACTAATAACCATGTCCATGCTGATAACTTAAGAAAATACAAATTATGCGCCTTTGATATTTTTAAATTAATTTTAGGAGCGTACTGTACTGATTCTGGGTTTAGCTTTTTTAATAATAGAGGAGACGGTTAAATAAATACATAAAGTTCCATTTTTACACTCACGTTAACCTACAAGTTGCCTTGTTTACCCTAAATCATACATTCACCCACGTCGCTCATGTCAATAATATGCTGAACTTTTCCAGGACGGTTGCGGCTACGGGAGCATGTTCCATAAGTGAAACTACTTTATCGACGTAGTGAAGTAATTTAGTACGGTCTCTAAAAAAAAAGAATGATATGTCGTAGAGAAGTTTCACTTCGTAGGTGTGTACAAAATTACACGCACAAGTTTTTTATTTACAAGAACATGAAATCATCAAATAAGTCAATAGCGTGTCGGGGGCCGTGTAAATTTGGGTTTCTTTTTTTATAGAATAGGGTGACAAACGAGCACACAGTCCACCTGATCGTAAGTGGGTGCTGTGGCCCACATATATCTATATACATCTATCCTCGATAACGAATCAAAATGCAGATGCGTTGTCACCCGTGGGCACTAAGATGAAATGCCTCGTTTCCAGTAAGAAGGGTCTCCGGTTCTCTGCACTCACTATACGAAACACAGCAGCATTAAGTTGCTATTTTACGCTGGTATTCTGTGAGAGCGTGGTCCTTCCCCTGTCGAGCCGACCCATTCGTGCTACAACTATACCAGTAATATAGCTGCAGCATGGCTCTACTTCTCTATTTCTCTATGTAGGTTTCATTTTCTTCTTTAACTCTTCAAAGTTCACTGCTGGATATTGGCTTCTTCTGTAGGAAGACTTTACCTTAACGGTCACGCTTAACACGCGAATTATTAGAATATTTTTTATTCAATATAGATTACATGTAATTCTTATTGAAACTCATTTTTCTACCGACTTTAAACAGGAGGAGGTACTCAATTCGACTGTATGTTTTTTTATGTGTGTTACCTCATATTTTTGTTCTGGGTGAACCGATTTCGATGATTCGTTTTTTTATTTTAAAAGCTGTTGCTTCATATGTGGTCCCATATAAATTTGATCAAGGTCTGACTAATAGTTTTCGAGTTATTCTTAATAATTTATATTGAACTCGGTTGTACAAAACTTTAAATTTTTAATTTTTAATACCACTAACACCACTGGTTCGGAAAAAACCTCAGTCCCGGGAAAATATCTAAAGATAACGTTGCCACCCGTCACTGATCTGATAATATCTGGGCATTTTACTGGGATTCTTATTTGAAATTTAATAATTAATTAATTTTTTCCTTTTACCTGTAACCTGGAAAAACCTCTAGCCTAGGAAGAACCAGCAAGAAATCGAACGGGGCTTTTTCCAAAGTAAAATTATACAATAAAAACATAGATTATACAATTACTTAGAAAAGTCATCTATGAAACAACTTGGAAGCGATAGCATCATTCCCAGGAGGTGTTTCCAAATATGTATTTGTATTATAATATTCTTTTTTTATATAGTATTTGTGGTTATTGTCGTACCTTGATAAACTTGTGTGTATAA